GCCTATATCGCTGTCATTCAGATCCGATGAATCCAACACCACCAACGGTACCTGCAAATTCAGCTTCCATGGATGGATATTTTCTTAAAATTTTTCACCCGAATCTTCGCTTTCATTTTTTACTAAATTTAAGCGCTGTCACTTTTATCACCGAAGATCCGATTAAAAAAAAAAATATTTTTACTCAATACCAAAAATGCAAAATTACGAAATTTCATCGAAAAAAGTAACAATAAATAAAAAGAATATATTACAAACAGGTTATGCATATATTTATTTCATACACGAATGACAAGACTATCAGGAAAGTGCGCGAGCAAATCCCAACCGATCCGAAGCCTGTATCTTCAGTTAGCATTCACCGCCTATTCGATTTTATTGAATGATAACGCAAATGGTAATCCTTTTATAAGAGAAAAACTGAAAGGAAATATAAAAAATGACGAAAATAAAATATGAAAAATAAAAAATCAAAGAAACTGGGACCTTTGATCTCCGTTTTATACAGTTCTCATATGATTTATCATATCTGTTCGCAAACTTCTTTAGGATTTCATCGGTGTCTAGTACAGCCTGATCTTCTGTTTCTGAATCCGGCTCTTCTGCATATATCGGTAGGTCGTCCACACTATATACGTCAGTTTTTTTACCAGCTTCATTGTCCATATCGATATCAGAAAGAGTGTCTTCCTCATCAGCATCCGCATTCTTTTTTGATTTTTTATTAGACTGAAAAAAAGAAAACGAAATAATTGTTTCGAAAACCAGATTGCTGCTTAAATATTATCAGTAGGAAAGACTTCATTAACGGCGAAACTACCTTTGCCGTCGAATTGTCTTCGTCGTCCGAATTAGACCCTTTTTTCCCATCTTTATCCTTCGAATGAGCTTTGCTGCTATCCTCAATCTCTGAAAATTTGCAGTTTTAAGATTAACTGTTACATGGTAATTTTGAAAATTAAATTTCGTGACAGTGGACTTACTTTCGCCGAGTTTTGAA